AATGTGAATCATCATGTTGTTTGTGAACGTGAAACTTATACACGCACCATGAACAGATTACAAACTTGTTGGTTTGCTGGTCTATCTCAATAAACAAATCAACAAGTTTAAAATGTACAATGTACTTGTGCTTTTTCTATTATTTACATAATCATATTCAATGCATTTTACAAAATGGACAACTAGTTCTTATCAATATTTGAAAATATATATATAGTGACCTTTTATTACAATTAAAAGTGTTTGTGAGTGACATTGATTTGCTAACCATAGTGGTGATGAAGGTGTTTATTAGTTAAAGTGTTCGACAGTAAAGCCGATGGTTCGAATTCTGTTGGTATAAGCGACGTAAAACCACTCACTCACTCACTCACTCACTTTTATATACATGTTGACAATCCTGTGGTCTAGAACTAAATGTAAATGGGCATCTATTTGAGTCCACTTTGAGGTGGAACACACTTACTTGTTACACAATAATGGCATATTAATACTAAGTGACGTCGATACGTGCAAAATTGTGTGGAGATTGTATATTTAAATACAGTATGTATCCTTAGGCGTGCTAGAAACCTATTGTAGTTGGTTCGAGTCCCTGATTATGCTTCGAGATTTGTCAGCACATACCCTTGCACTTTTTGTTTTACAAAAGTCGTAATCTGACACGCTATGATAGAACTAAAACAGTGTTCAAAGCGGCGAAACACTCACTCACCAAAACATATACAACGCTCAAATAAAAATCACGACTAGATGTAATAATAACATGGGAACAGATGTGTTCAACTGTAAAACTGTGTTCACTGTCGTAGATACAGGCAGTGAATAACATTGGGGATATACACAAACTTCCTCAGGTTCAGCCTGATTTGCATTTTTAAACAATTGTGGATAATGATAAACAGTCTACCGATGTCAGATAGATAACGGTTAGTGGCATCACGAATGTTTTTCAAAGTGGTTTTGTGGTAGTCTTAGAACTTGGTCAGGTTTTAATACCGAATCTATTGACTTAGTCTCACAGTAAAACCGTGACTTTTGCCCAGCGAGTATTTTTATTTAAAGGATTATGAATCTGTATTACCTTGAAGAATTATGATCCCCCAGTTTTAATATTTCTTCGTTGATTCTCACTGATGTGACAACTCTTCCTCAGTAGTAACTTTGAATCGCTTCTGAAAGCTAGTTCCGGCTGACATGGAATTTTGAGGGATGGTAATTTATCGTGGTCAGAAATTGCTAATTCATCTTCAGTGCCCCGGTAGGATATTTTGGATGATGCACAGATATCCATGAAGCATATGTGCGATGATTTCTTTAACGACACTGTCAAAATCAATATAATACTCATTTTCTGCATTATCGTCTTTCGCCAAGGTTCCAATGTTAGTAAACATGCTCTACGCATAGAGCAGAGTTCGAAAATTGTAATATAATGATGAAATTATAAGTATTTAAAAACATTATTCATTGTTAAGCCAGAATGTTTGCAATTTTAAGATATTCTTTTTCACAGTGTTTTATAAAGTATCTCTGCATCTCAAAGGGATGTCACCAGCTACTGTCAATATTGATATGTATACGTGCCTATCTAAATCAATGCTTTCCGTTAATTGTATTTTTATAAAATGAGCTAACATGTTATTAGGGTACAAAATCCTCATAATATTCTCAGTATCACTGTAGAGTATCAAGGCAACGTTCCAGAACTCGTAACTATCTGGTGTGATAATCGATAGTTTGCTAGAGTAAGCATGTTAAAGTTCTTAAACCCGCTGGATTTCCTTATAGCACACATAGAATCTCACAGTCGTGTCTTGGCATTGCTATAGTCGATCTACATAAATATAAAACAATAGGTTTCGATTATCTGTCGGAACAGAAAGGTCTGATTGATGTTATGACTGGCACTGCCTTAATTTATAATAGCTTCTCAACGCTGGTTCTGGTTAATATGGAATTTCGAGGGATCTTAAAATCGTTGTGGTCAGATATCCCTCCCCATTCATCCTCAATGCCCCGGTAGCATATTTCAGGACACAGAGCTGGGTTCATGACGCATATGTGATTTGATTCCGGTAACGTCCTTGTTAAAATCCTCACAACATTTTCTTCAGCAAGGGCGCACGGGTGGCCCAGTCGTCTAAGGCGCCACGATTCGGGCACGCCAGAAACCTACGATCGTGGGTTCGAATCCCGGTTCGCCCCGATTATGTTTCTAGGTTTGTCAGCACCATACCCATGCTCGTGGGTTTCACCGAAGTGGTAAACGTCTGAGACCTACATCACGTCGGGCTTTCCTCCCACATTAAGCTGACACGCCGTGATATAACTGGAATACTGTTAAAAGCAGCGTGAAACCCAACTCACTCACTCACTCTTTACAGCAATGTCATCGTCCTGACCAGCGATCGCTATTGGTTCCGATGTTGGTATTGTTTGTTTATTGCCTACCGCCGCACTCAATCATATTCCAGCTGTATGTAAAGTATCGAGTCTGGACCAGACAATCAAGTGAATGGCATCATGAGCATCCTTCTACGTAATTGGGATACGATGACATGCATCAACCAAGTCAGCGAGCCTGACTACCCAATCCCGTTATTTGCCTCTTACGACAAGCATAGTCGCCTTTTACGGCAAGCATGCGTTATAAAGAAAGACGTTTGACGTCAACTTACTTCCGTATAAATCGCCATGTATGCGAACTGTACAAACATATCTTGTTTTTTCGTAATGTAATTAAACCATTATTCCATTATACTCGTATCTAAAAACTGCAATCATTACATAGACAGTTATATGTCTGAAAATGTAAGAAATATTAATTGAAGCTTATGAATTGAATGTTTGTGGTCCTAAGATGCTGTAGTTTTAAGATATAATAAAAAGTCAAATTGTCCATTATCTCAGGGTTGGTCACATATATGTATATATATTTCAATGTTAAAGACTACCATGTATTTGAAGAAATGAGATAACTTAAATTTTGGATGGATGTATGCAATGTAAAGAAATCCTATTTGACGTTCTTGAATAAAGTAGTTCTGTAGCTCTCCGTTTAACTGATTACGTAATCAGCATCACGTGGCACACTGACGTTCATTGGAGAGTAAACGACAGCGACGGTAATAGTGTCAATCAAAGGGAAGTCATCCGCTACTATTTACATATATACATAGATATAGATGCCCTTGAAAATTAATGGTTTCCATTGATGACATTACATAAAATTGGTTAACATTACGTTAGCCTTCCAGTGTCATAGCTACATTCTCTGCATCACTGTAGAGTACAAAAGCAAGCACTCAAGGACCGTCTATTGTGACAGTTTTCTCTGGCTGAAGTAAGTACATTTTCCATGTTTTGTAATTCCAATAACAAACGCTCCTTTGTTTTTCGCCTTATGAAACCTGCTGTATTTCCTTTCAGTACACATTAAATTTCCCAGTCGTACCTCTCTATTTATACATAGCTCAAAGCTCGGGGATTTAAAAACAAATGCGAGTTCTTGATATATAAGATATGTATGCGAGAACCATAATGTTTTGTACCAAGAGAATGTTGTCAATTTTGCCATCGCAATTATTAAACTCTGGTGTTTGTTCTGCTTTACGATCTGGACGAATATATCTAATTATTCCGAAAGTTTCATCTAAACTACCCAAGACCTATGTAACATTTGTGACATTTGACCACTTTCTAAATGGCATTGGGTGTTCATACCAAAGACCTGTTTAATTCCTGTTGGCATATCACTTCAAACACCGCCGTGATATTGCTGGAATATTGCTAAAAGCGGCGTAAAATCAAACTCACTCACTCACTCACTTTAAACAAATGTTAAATCCTGGTGTTCTTAAGCCTTTTAATTCATAACACCAGATTTCGAATTCTTTTTGTCGTTCTTGGTATAATTACTATTTGATAGTGATTCATAAACACATGCTAATGATATAGTCGGAATAGTACAATCGACTCTGCTTTATGCAGATATTTTTATTGTATGTGGAAAGGGTTTTGTCGCTTTATTCCCCACGGCTGATGTCAGGCAGACATATAAGATCCACGTGTAGAGACTACATGTAACTCACCAAATTAGTTCTTATTATAAAGCCATTATTTTAGTACGATTTCTACTTCACATTTAGTCTTTGAAATCACTGCCATAACTACTTATCGTGGGGGGTGCAATGGTAAAGTGTAAGCAATAAGTATAATTATTATGCATGTACGCGCATACATGAACGAGTGGTAGAGTGAATGTTGTACAACACAACAGTCAGCAATACTCGAACCTCAGTAAACTACGGTTATAACGACCACAAAGTTTAGTTTGTTATAAGCGTAGTTCATTATAAGCATAAATACAGGATATTCAATTTCTTTATTTCAGTACTGGGGAGGCCACAGGCCTAAAGTACATTTATGATTTGTACATTCAGAGCAGTAGTGTCTATAACATAATATTTTTTCTATTGCGCATTGCATGATAAATGTACATAGATACATTTTGTAAAAGTAAGTACTTACAGTTGTTTAACAGAGATGTGAATTTATCTTCGTTTTATCTTTGTTTACAGTTAATTTCCATTCAACACAGTATTTTTTCTAATTCGTTAATTTAGTATGCAGCCTTGTCTCATTCCAAGTTCACTATCAAACATTTCCGTCAATTCCCGGATATTTCTGACACATACTTTTACATTTTCATAAATATTACATAGAAGTTTGCTCATCTTACAACTAAGACCATGGGATTACATAAGTTACCATAACGTATGCCGTTGTACAGAGTCAAATGCCTTTGAAAAAGTCAACGAATAGATTTATACAGCAAATGCTCGGAATATATCACGGAGGTCATATCGGTGTCTACACGCGAGGCAGACCTTTGGGTTTCAGAATACATCTCAGGCCGACTTGCGGTATTTCTTTGATGTGAATGGTGTTGTTACAATAAAGTAAGTGTTTTTACAGTTGTGGCCGAGCTCACGATGTCAGGTGAGATACTCGTAAGGTAATCATTACTTGATTGGATTAATCAGCTGATGGTTAATTGAGTCATGCCAAATTAAATGCACACATCACCCTTATACATATCTTTCATTATGATGTATGTTGAAATATAACAAACGAGTAAATGCTTCTTTGGTGTAGAATCGTGTTTGTTGTGACATAAGAGATGATCAGATATCTTCTCCATATGATTGCCAATGATTATGTTCTTTCACAGCCGAGCATGAAGTGGGAGGTTGTTTTTTAACACAAGTTTCAATTGGTTGGGTCCTTTGTTACCATAATCCGTATGTAATTGCCTTGTTAGTCAGTTTCACCTGAGGCCGTCTTACCAAATCTACCCTTTTACCAAATGTCTGCCTCGAGGGTATAAACCGTTCATATCACCTGTTCTCTCTTTTTTTTACTAAAAACATATAATCGTACATAATCCAATCTGAGCAAACCAGTAGATCTACACCTTCTGGACACGATTACATTCAGTCGGCCAGGCCACGTATTGTAAACAGTCTACCAATATTAGTCTGCCTCTCTTCCTTAAGAATTGAGTACCTGTTGTTCCCCGTTCCCCAACGAAGGTACCAGAAACCTATTCTGTCCCGGAATCCCAACGGGTATCGTATGCATAGTCAATACGGTTGTGTGACATAGCCGTGACGTCTCGCATTACCAGCAGGATACTAAGATTGTCATGGATTGACGTTCAGAGTTTTAACAACTATATATAAAGTAAATTGCTCCCATTTTTTAAATGAAATAAATAAGTTCTTACAGAAGGAAATTTTTAAACATGTATGATGGTTGCCAAAATAGTCAAAAATATTGTGTGTGTTAAATATTCCTTTTGAACAAAGATAGTACTGAAACGTCGTCTGTTTAATACTTATTATACTTGAAACGATGTTAACGTCAAATAAGTTCTACACAAACATGTTCATTTTCAGTTACTTAATTCTTTGTTTCAGTATTTTCTAAAATATCCTCGTCGTCTTCTTTATCTTCTGTTTCAGTATCCTTAACGATGTATCTTAAACACCTCGTCCTTCTCCTTGTTGTCACTGTTGCTGCAGAAGCAGCGTTCAGAAGGTCAAGCTTCAGGCGAAGAAGACGTGTTCAAAGCTACGCCAACGGTTACTACCCCTACAATATGTACGAAAAGAACTACGAAGGCGATTACGACAATAACTACGACAGTATATTGGGCAATTACGACTATGGCAACGGCTACGGTAATGGCTATGGCTACAGCAACCTTTATGGCAATGGTGACTACAACAGCTACGGCAACGGCGAGAGTGACTACGTCAGATATAACACGATGAGAGGCGCACGTGGTCGTCAGTATGGCGGACGCTCAACACATTATCACCAACGACCTACGATGAATGATATAACTGTGTATAGTTGTAAGTATACTCATTTGCACAAATGTCTCTCTTGTTTTGTCATATCTCCACAGTCAAAAACTTTTGGTTACAAATGTACGGAGATACATATGTGTCCTCCTTGGGACGTTGTTGATTGATAGTATAATAGTGTTACAAAACTAGTGATCCAAAACAGGAGAATCGACCCAGGAAATCTTAGTACGATGGGGAGCTCACACATGTTTTATGACAGTCAGCATATGTTAGCTCTTTTGATTAATAATATAACTCCAACACAAATTGATTTTCTGCAAAAATGCCAATTCTATATTTCGGAAAAGGTTATTAATGATAGGACCAATGCTTTTTGGAAAGATGTTCTGTGTGCATGGGGAAACTTAATAGAAAAAAAAGGAAATTCTATCAAAGAGGAAAAAGATATATTACCACAACCTTTATGGCAAAATACGAATATAAGAATAGGGAACACTCCGGTATACTATAAACATTACTAGGGAAAAGGCATTAATCTTGTAAATGATTTGATAGACGAGAACGAAAATTTTCTAATTCTTTTAGACCTTAAACATGTATACGACTGTAACACATTTTCTGGAATATTCTAGTCTTATCCTAGCAATAAAACAATATCTAAAGCGTAAGAGTATAGCCCTAACATCTAAGTTACATCTGCCCTTAATACCATATTTCCTTGAAAACTTAGTGGAGAGGGGGGATGTAGGGTAGTTTCTGATATCTTAAATAAACTATCCAACAATATGATATCCCAAAAATACATTCAAAGATGGGAACAAGATCTTGGCCTTAACATGACGGGAAAAGATTGACAAACGATTAATCGTAGCCCCCACAGATATAATGTTTCCTCAAAACAAAAATGGTTCCAATACAGTATTATTCATAGACTTATACCAACAGAAGAGGTAACTGTACAAAATGGGATTTTTGTAAACGAGAAAAACAAACCTTAGTGCACATGCTCTTTGAGTGCAAAATTGTAAAACATATCTAGAACAACCTTACAAAATGGATCAAAGACAAAACTGGAATAGAACTAGAATTTTCAAAATTGACAATTTTATTTTAAATCATATTTTATATCATATTATAACTGAAACAAAGCAAAACATATTCAAATCAAACATTTCCGGCTCCATACCAAATTTCCCACACATCAAACAAGAAATAACCGATTCATATTAATTACATCGACAGAAATATATCATATTCACAATGTAAATACACACAGTTCATGACATTTTGGTCCCTCTGTCACCACCTATTCGTTTAAAACCACGAACTTGCACAATCCAACAATATGACACTGGAATAGTTTTTGTTTGTTATCATCTATAGATATACTTTGTAACTTGTATGTATTTAAGACTGCATGTGAACTATATTCTGTAAACATATTGTTTGTGTACTCCAAAAAGAAATAAAATCATAAAAAATGTACACCGTACAGTCTGTGTATATTCTGCAACAGAATCAACATTGTCTACATTTACGTATGTGTATCCTTTTGCTTGAAAATGTCGATTTGATGTTTTATTCAACATTTAGCTGAAACATAATAATAATAAATTTGTATCTATTTTCAGAATGTTTCCGAGGAACTACACGTTGGCATGGTCAAGCTGTACGAATCATCATTAATTATTCAGGGTCAATGGGTGACAAACTAAGTAAATATGATAAAATCAGTACTTCGTTTTGTTTTCCTTTATCGTGATTCTGATACCCCACCAGAGATAATGCCAACCACAACCAGAAGCTCCTTTCTTACTTATGCATTTGGTTGCATGAGGTTTGATAAAGGTAGGACCCGACTCTATCAGAGATATAGAGTACTTACTATATACACTTACGATTGGAGACATGCTCGGAAGCTCCTATCTGAAATGGTAAAACAATATATTAGTGTTCACACGCGAAAGTTCCGCGTTCCCTCACAATACTTTTCGCGTTCCCCCGATGTGCTGTAGCGCTCAGTTGCTGTATAGGTTCGCGCTCCATGTTGGTTGGTTGGTTGGTTGGTTGTTTACCGCCGCACTCAGCAATATTCCAGCTATATGACGGCGGTCAGTAAATAATCGAGTCTGGACCAGATAATCCAGTCATTAATATCATGAGCATCGATCCACGCAATTGGGATCGATGACATGCATCAACCAAGTCAGCGAGCCTGTCCACCCGATCCCGTTAGTCGCCTTCTACGACAAGCATTGTCACCTTTTACGGCAAGCATGTGTTCCTGAAGACCTATTCTGACCATGTGGATCAATAAGGGAAGCTGCAGCAAATACGAGAATGTTACGTATCTGTACGAGAACAAGACGAACAGTAAGTGTTATATTGATGCTATCATAGTTTTGCGTATCAATTAACATAATCGCTTAATTCATCATCAACATTTTAGATTTTTTTGTTGCCGTAGTCACAAGGGCCATTACCAGTTAGACGGTGTTCACTCGGAATTCACGATTCAGAAAATAGACACCATTAAAAAAAAAATCTAACATACAATGAAAACATGCAATGACGCGACTCGACTCGACTTCAATACGTAACAGGAAGTTATTCGCAACATACAATTCAGCAATGCTTCCTCTGTGAGGTTTACAAAATACTTGAACATTTAATCTCATGCACCATGTACATGTATAATATAAGAAACAAAGCAAATAGGTGACTCTCATGTAATACTTTGGACATATACTTTGATTTTAATTCAGGTCCAAGATAATGCTGCACTTGGATGTAGTAATTTGAATGCTCATGAGCGGTATTCATATACGCCGATCCATATTCTTCGAGAATAAAAATATGTTTAAACCAAATACTTTGAACAATATATTGAGCCTGTATACTCTGACAATGTGTAGGTCCCTGGAATCTGCACAGACAACAGTAATGCACATTCTACATTCGTAGGAATATCATTTAACGTTCCTTATTTAACAATGTACATGGACACAAATCAAACGCCAATTGTTGCGGTCGGGTAGCCTAGTGGTGAAAGCGTTCGCTCGTCACGCCGAAGACCCGGGTTCGATTCCCGACATGGGTACAATGTGTGAAGCCCATTTCTGGTGTCCTCCGCCGTGATATTGCTTGAATATTGCTAAAAGCGGCGTAAAACCATATTCACTCATTCACTCAAACGCCAATTTATATTCCATGATGGTCAAGAAAATATTTTCAATGACATTTTTTATGGTGATCCTGTTTGGGTGATCCTGGCACAGGCTGGTGAGGCTCATCATCAGTTCAGGGCCCTTGCCCCCTCTGCACCCAGACAGCTAATTGAACTTCTCACAAGAAGCGCTAGTCGATCCAACCCAGAACTTTTCGGAGAATGTGAAGACTCCTCAACACTGCAGCCTTCTGCATTACCCAGATTGTCAAAAGGGCTATATTCCTGACAGCAAACCCGGGTACTCTTCCAATGTCAGTCAACAGATTGGGAGGTACCAAATCTAAAGCACCGAGAACAATGGGGAGTCGGACAACTTGGTTCTAAAGATGTCAGGTCTGCATATTTGCCACGTTTTTCCCGAATCTTGTCAATCGCATTAGTGTAAAAAAGGACAGAAAATTCAATGATTTCAATGGATTTACGAAAAAGGACAAGATCAGGTTATTGACTTGGACAGGTCTATATACGGGCCTATTCCAAAGAATTATATATTTGTCATATTCCATGACGCCCTCTATATATTCTGGGTCGTACCGTGAGACCTCTGCTTCAAAACCATAAGCATGGCATAGTCTACATTTCATATGGTCCTGAGCAGCAAACAGAAAGCCTTCTGTTTCACTTTCCAGGCTAGCCGATTGACTTCATCCAACCGAAGGGCTCTGCAGTGCTGCTTTCCTTCTCAGCCAATGCACATAAACTCGATGCAGTGGTCGTTCAGATAGCCACTCCCTAAAAAAACTGAGTCTGGACCGTTTTGATATGGCACTTCGCTTGGTTGACACTCATTTCTGTACCGTCCAGCAATGCAGAACTATCAGCAAAATCAACATTGACGTTGAGATTATGTCCCACATCCTTGGCTCTTTTAAGAAAAACAGTGGAATGCCTTGCTTTCATCATGAGACTTGACATGCTTCGCAATAGGATCATCAGACAAATAAATTATTTTTACGTGAAAAACATTCAATTAAATGCGTTGATTTAATGTTTCATTCATTATTTAACTGAATTTTCTTGTATCTCTTTTCAGAATCACTTTTTGTTGCCAAGGGCACTATGCGAGTCAACAAATGTCAAATGGTGTGTTATAATGTGTTTGTAAATGAATGTGATAAAATTAGATCTCAGTTTGATTTTCATACACACTGATAGAGGCACATATATATATAAACGAGTCAATTGTTATTAAAGAAGCTGATAAGGGAGGCGCTATGATATTTATGGACAGTAATTATTACAAAAAACTCTCAATGGATATGTTAAAAGATGAATCTTGTTACAGAAAACTTTCAGACAGTTCGGAAAAATCTGTATTACTTAATCTTAAAAGATATTCACATTCTCAATGCCTTACTAAAAACGAAGAGGATTATTTAATTAAGTTTGAATCGAAAGAAAGTAATTTTTATGGCCTCCCTAAAGTTCATACAAGCGCACAGATCAAAGAAAAATGTCGAAATTTGAATTCTGCTTTTGTCAAAATAGCCCCCGTAAATGATTTAAAATTACGACCAATAATTGCGGGACCCAAATGTCCCACACACAGAATCAGTGACTTCATGGATAAAGTGTTGGAACCAATAACTAAACTTGTCAAGAGCTACATAAAAGATACCACTGACTTTCTGAAATCCGAGAAGACATTACCTCCGAATTCATTATCGACAGTATTAAATTTATTCTAAACAATAATACTTTTAATTTTGATGGTTCTCATTACAAACAAATTAAAGGCACAGCAATGGTGACAAAACTGGCCCCTACTTATGCAACCCTTTTACTTGTGAAGAAAGATTCGGCATTGAATTTGGACAGGGATTTCAAGATAAATGGAAAAGATTTTTAGATGATTGTTTTGTTCTGTGGAATCGGAATGAAAACGATTTACAGTGTTTGATAGATATTCTACAGACACTCCATCCAAGTTTAATCTTTATTTAGAGATGAGCGATAACAATCTATCTTTTCTTGGTTCATGAATGATGGTTATTCTCGTAAATCACGGCAGTGATACAGAGATGTAATTGGATACAGGAATTAGATACAATGAAGAAAACATGTCAGTGGAACATTTCCATACATGATCTTATATAACTTGCCAGTTTTAATAGAATTGGCTTATAAGTAATGGACATCAAATGAGAGAATTTTACGGCAGAAGGATACATACAGTAGTATTGAGGCAAAAACTTGTTTCTAATTTCTGAGAGTTTTGGAAATTCTAATAAAAAGTGCATTTCATCACATATAACATTTTTACACAATGTACATTTTCTTTCCTCTCTCACAATATTATACCATCTTCCTGTTTCAATGGGTAATCTATGATTTGCTGTTCTAAAACGAGCAAGAGAGATGCGTAATTATAAGGTGATTGGTAGTTCTAGTAAATAAGGTTCTAGGGATGGTTACTCTTTAAACATGCTATAATAATAACCTTTAGGTGAATTTTCCTTTGATTCTCGCAATCTTTGCAGAAAATTATCAATGAGAATATGTTTCACATTTTGTTTCAACCATGCGGCACTGATAAAGGTTTGAGACAGCCAAATGTAATTAAAGCCTATATTTTGAAGAATACATTTTACTTCTTTTAATAGTGGGAAATGGTAATCTGGATTTGCAATGGACATTTGAAACATAAGTTTATATACTATACTAGAAAGGCTAGTTTGTGATGATGTTAGCTTGCACCAATATGAAATCATTCTTATCTTAATGAAAATGCTGAGAGGATACCTCCCTAGTTCACCATATACAATGTAATCGGGTGTTGACTGGTTTAACTTGAGAATATATTTACAAAATTTAAGATGTACACGTTCAATGACAACAGCATTTTCAAAACCCCACACCTCAGATCCATATAACAATACTGGCTGAACAAGTTGATCAAATAATTTCAATTGACAGTCAATAGGAATTTCTAATAATCTAATTTTACGAAATACGGCGTACATTGCTCTAGATGCCTTATCTGTCAGTCTCTTTAGTGCCTTACAAAATCTACCAGTGTTTGTAAATAAAATACCAAGGTAAACATATTCTTTAACAACAAGAAGAATCGAGCCATTTAACATAAAATTGAAGACTCTATTTGTGGAGCGCTTGGCAAAAATAACAACTTTCGTTTTGTCAACATTGACTTTAAGTTTCCAGATAGTACAATATTCTTCAAATATAGTGAGACACTTTCTTAAATCTTCTGGGCTTTCGGCCATTAAAACAGTATTATCGGAAACAAAATGAGAAAAAGTTTTTATGTACATTTCAAGTGAATCTATTAAAAGGTTATTTACATTATGCAGTCCTTCAAAGTCATTTTCAGATAAAAATTGTTCAAGGTCATTAAGGTACAAAGCAAATTTTCACCTTGTCTTACACCAATTTGACATGGGAAGAAACCTGACACCTTGTTATTATGTGAAACACAAGATTTGATATTTTGATACATATTATATATGACATTAAAACATTTTCCTTTGATATTAGACTTTATCATTTTTGTCCACAGACCACACCTCCATACTGTATCGAAAGCTTTGAAAAAAT